AAAAAAAAAAAAAAAAAAAAGATCCACCTTTAGGTCAACACACACACACCATTTGTTAGCACATTCCTGTCATCTGCATGAATTAGGACCTGGCCTGTTCATTTGTTCTCAGGTTTCCAACTGAAGAATCGGGCTAACAGTATGCCATCACATAATCTACATAAATTACTGATTGTTTTATTTTCTTTTATAACTATATTTTGTGTTAAACTCTCTGTCTGTGTCCACAGACTCTCTTTCCTCTCTTTTTCTTTTATCTGTTGCATTAGATCCACCTTTAGCTGATACACTTAACTGTGACCCAATAAATGTTATTTTTTATACTCTTGATCTACTCTGGTTTGTTCTCAGTTCCAACTAAAGAATCGGGCTAACAGTATGCTATCACATAATCTACGTAAATTACTGATTGTTTTATTTTCTTTTATAACTATATTTTGTGTTGAAGTCTCTGTCTGTGTCCACAGACTCTCTTTTCTCTCTTTTTCTTTCTCTGTTGCATTAGATCCACCTTTAGCTGATACACTTAACTGTGACCCAATAAATGTGTTTTTTTTTATACTCTTGATCCACTCTGGTTTATTCTCAGGTTTCCAACTAAAGAATCGGGCTAACAACTGGTATAAAAAAAAGCTTAAGACCCACAAATTAGCATTTAATTCGGACTAGGGTCTCTTAGGTTTCCTCCTTCTGTCTGCTCCTTTCTACGCACTTCTGGAAGGCTTTAAAGCCCTGCACCACTACAGCATTTTTAGTTGTTTCTGTATGTTTTGTATGTTTTTTGTATTGTTTTATGGCTTTGTTGTAAAGCACTTTGAGTACCATTTGGGTATTGTAAAGGGCTATACAAATAAACTTGATTGATTGATTGATTGAGAAAAATGGGCTTCATCTTCCTCCTTTAGCAGCCGAATAACCACATGGATCCACATATGATTTTTTGTACTCTTGATCCACTGTGGTTTGTTCTCAGGTTTCCAGCTAAAGAACCGGACCCAAAGCAGGTTCTCACCCTCCAGCCATCCCAGCGTGTCGTCCAGCTTCAGGTCGACCCGCTGACCCTCCCCCAGGTGCCTCGATATGACCGGCCGGTTCCCCCGGTAATCCGCCACCGTGCCGGTGTACAGCTCTCCATCTGAGGAACAGTGTCTCATTACAATAATCAGAAAATGTCTTACAGTAAAGTCACACTAGGAATCTAAACTGTGACTGTAGGTGGAGGTCAGATAGATTTATCTTTACTGTCCAGATACTATGATGGTTTCTTTTTGTCCAGCAAATCTTAGAGCTCAACCACGATTTAATTAAGTTCTGAGCTTCTTTCTTAATGAATTGAGGGTTGGTTAGGGTTAGTTGTAGGGTTATTGTTAGGGTTAGGAACAGCCAGACCTCATGGTGACCCCAAAGCATCGTTACAATACTCAGAAAATGCCGTACAGTAATCCCAACTTTACAAAGTCACACGAGGCCTTTTTAAAACTGTATAAACTGTGATTGTAGGTGGAGGTCAAATATATTTATCGTTACTGTCCAGATACTACGATGGTTTCTGTTTGTCTGGATACAAATCCAGCAAATCTTACAGCTTTGATTAAGTTCTGAGCTTCTTTCTTAATGAATCGAGAACAAATTGAATGCAGACCATGACATAATTTGCGTAACATTACAAAGACTAAGTCATGTGATCCATCTGTTGATTATTAGAGTTAGGGTTAGGGTTAGGGTCAGGGTTAGGGTCAGGATCAGGATCAGGGTCAGGGTTTGGGTTAGTACCAGATGATGACTAGGAGAGCTTATTCTGTACAGCACATTAACGGCTCATACTACAACTCCCATAATGCCCTGCTGCTGTTCAGGACAGGACCCAGAAACTCCTCTGTGACAGTAGCTACACACTACAGCTGTCACTGTTCCCAAAAAATGACCAAAGAAAGGCAGCAAACAGGAGCTTTCTGGACAAGCTAATTTAATTTTGATATTTAATTCAGAAGGCTGCGAATAGAAAAATGTTTAAAATTTTTATTTCATAAATGAATGCCATTGATGTGTTTTTTATTTGAAATTTGCATGTCTTCACTATTAAGTTATATATAATGTAATAAGAGTCGCTTGTTCCATATTCAATGTTAAAGCAAAATTCGTTTGGTTCCATATTAAAAGGTTCATTTGTTCAATCTTGGCCAGCGGCTTTGTTCAGGTGTTACATTTTGGCCCCCTGAGTTTTGGAGTTTGACACCCCTGGTATAGACAGTAAAAATTTGTTTCCACCTCAGAAAGCTGCTAGTCACATGACCTAATCAAAATGGCCGACTTGGATGTGGGAGGAGTTGGACATCCAGCCGAGGCTCCTACATCCAGAGGCTGCTCGATTTTTCTCTACCAGTGATTTTTAACAGTTCCAAACGTAGAGCTGGGTTAGGGTTAGGGTTAGGGCGCCCGGCCCCCGTTGCCACGGTAACGTACCCACAATGAGGGCGGTGTTGCGCTGGTACGGATCATAGGGGCAGCGGCCGCGGCCCTCATCAGATTCAGGGCCCATCACCAGAGTCTCCGAGTTCTGAACAGAACAGAGAGACAATCAGCTCTATCTATCTATCTATCTATCTATCTATCTATCTATCTATCTATCTATCTATCTATCTATCTATCTATCTATCTATCTATCTATCTATCTATCTATCTA